ATAAGCTCTGCTTTTGCTGCATACCACAAATTTTGGTATGTTGTTTTCATTGTCATTTAGTTAAACATATATTCTAACTTTACTTTTGATTTGTTCTTCGATCCATGTATTATGTTTAAATATGCTATTTAATTCAAAATATTTGGGGATTTTTCGGATATCTTGTTGATTTCTAATTAAATGGTAGGAAAGCATATTTTTGTAGGATTTTGAACTTTTGAGTTACAATTGATACTTGTTTATTTGCCCAACATATAATCTATCTTGATGGACATTTCATTTGTACTTGGAAAGAGAATGTATTTTGTAGTTGTTGGATTTAGTGGTCTATAAACTTCATCAGTTAGTAGTCTATAACTTCATCAATTAGATGAAGTTCATTCAGAGTGTTGTTCAGAGATCTATATCCTTACTAACTTTTTGACTACCTGTTTACTGAGAGAGGGGTGTTCACATCTCCAAATAAGATTTGGACTTGCCTGTTCTTTCAATTTTGTCAGTTTTCTTCATGTATTTTGTTGCTTTGTTTTTAGGGCATTAGCCTTTCTGATTCTTATGTCTTCCTGATGAACTGGCCCTTATAATTATGAAGTATTTCTCTTATCTTTAACAGTATTCCTTGACTCAAAGCCTATTTTTTATGACGTTAATATAGTAAGTTCATATTTATGTTTGCTGTTTTCACTGCCTATCTTTCCATTCCTTTCTTTCAAGTATGTCTTTTAGAGACAACATATAGTTGAGTATTTTTTAAATCAAGTTTGACCTTTAGTTGTAGTGTTTGGCCCACTTATATTTAATGTAATTATTGATGTAATTTGGTTTAGTCTTTCATTTCTCTGTCCCATTTAATTTTTGTTCTATTGTTCCTCCTTTCTTGCCTCTTTTGGGAATAATTGAATATTATTTAGTATTCTATTTTAATGCCTCTGTTGGCTTTTTACTCATACCTCTTCATTGTTATTATTACTATCATTATTTTAGTGGTTGCTTGTGGGATTACAATACACATCCTTGATTTATTACAGATTAGTTAGAGGTACTATTGTATGACTTTCATGTACAATCTTATAATCCTGTAGCCATATTGTTCCGTTTACCTCTCTCATCCTGTGTGGGAATTTTGCGGTATGTATTACATGTACGTATGTTATAAACCCCACAATACAGTGTTACAATTTTTGCTTTAAGCAGTTTTTTAAAGAAATCAGAGGAAGAAAGGATACAATAAATTTACTCACATATTCACCGATGGCTTGCTTTCTTCCTCTATTTGTAAATTTCCATCTAGTGTTATTTCTTTTCATCTAGGCAACAATTTTTCTTGGTTTTTATTCTACCTTAATTTGGAAGGATATTTTTGCTATACATATGATTCTGGGTAAGTAGCTTTTCTTTCAATGTTTTCAATGTGTCATTCCATTGTCTTCTGGCTTACATTGTTTATGATGAGAAATCCACCATTATCCTTGTAGTCATTCCTCTATATATAAAGTGTCAATTTTTTTGTAGCAACTTTCACGTTTTCTCTTTCTCTCTGATTTTTAGCAGTTTGTGCTATACCTAAGTGTGATCTTCTTTCTATTTGTCTTGCTTGGGGTTTTCTGAGCTCCTTGCTTTATTACATTTATTTTTAAACAATTTGGGGAAATTTCTAGTCACTGTATCTTCCAATATTTCTTATTCCCCAACTTTTTCTCCTTGTTTCCTTCTGGGACTCAACTTATACATATTTTGGACACCTCGATAATGTCTCGCAGAACATTGAGTCTCTGCTAATTTTTTTAAACTTATTTTTTCTCTGTTCTTCAGATAAATTAATTTATATTAATTTTCTTTATTTTTAGGTCATCTTTTGTTTGGTTTATGTGCCTGCATTTTCTCTTGACTGTGGACTATTTTTTCCCTATTTCTTCTCATGTCCAGTTATTTTACTTTATTGTTACTGATCGTAGACGATACCATGTATTGAGTGTGGATCGTGCCATCTTCCTTTAAAGAATGTTGAGTTTTGTCCTGGCAGGCAGTTTAATTATCAGAAGATCTTCGTAGTTTTGTTGGGATTGGCATAATTCCCTGTTAGAGCAAGTCTGTTTCAGTTTTGAATTTAGTCTTAGCATGCACTCTCTTTCTCTGGGGCTTAGTCCTTACTTATAAGACACAGCCTTTTAAATGCTGATAAACTCAGTAAGGTCTTTTCACCCTGGCTTGGTTGGTTTTCCAATGTTTGTCAGCATTGACCTCTGGTATCACTCACGGTCCATCTCCTAGTGCCGTAGCAGGTGATCTTTGTTAGGACTTACTGAATCATTCCCTGTGTATGTGCTACCCAGTCTTTGGCCAAAGACCTGCAGTGAATGCTCACACAGACGCCTGAAATCTTCCCTTTACACAGCTCCCTCTTCTCAGCTGTCTTGCCCTGTGAAGTCCAGCTGCTCTCTCAGCACAGTGAGATTGCCACTCTGCCTGGGCTCCCTGTCCCTGTTCTGTGGCTGTCAGCACTCGTGGGCAGAAAGCTGGATGATCATGGGACTTAACTGGTGAGCTTCCTTTTTGCCAAGGATGATATTTCTGTGCTACTCCATGCCTGAAAGCAACTGCTGTTGCTCCATGAGTTAATATAAATGTGTTTGCAGACAGGATTTGTCTTAGGAGTTTTGCAGAGCTTTGCCCTAAAGGAATATGTGAACGTGTTGGTTTGCATTTCAAATGCTGTTGCACTCGGAAGAGCATCTCTGAAAAACAGTAGCGGCTGTATCCCACACGGCGCCATGTTTCTCAGACCTAAAGGTTTGGATTTGCTTTGTAAAGCAAAGTGAATCTGTTAAAAACTACAGGATGAGTGCTTACAATGGAGTGCCTCCCGGAACAGACAACAACAGACAGCTGCCTGAATGGCTAAAAGCAAGCTCCTGTTTAAACACTCCAGACTACCTGTCTCCATTCACAATAACCTAATAAATATGGAGCCAATATATCTCTGTTTAACCCCTCTGTTAAGTGATAGATTTACCTTAGCACGTAGAAGTTAATCTTTGAAAGATTTTATAACCATTTGTTCACATAGATAGAATTAGTTAAAGGATCTGTAGAAGCCTTTTGAAAATCTGTTAACCTAAGAGGAACTACCTGCTGTTATGTAAATCTGTTATCCCTGGCAACTGATCACTGTTACCTATAAGTTACCATGTAAGACCTCATTCGGGGCTTTTTGAGATCCACGGAGAAGATCTAGGCCCCCTGAGATCGTGCTTTGCCTATAATCTTTTTAAACTTATACAATGATTTCTTTGTCTCTGTGTATTCTTTTATTTCCAATTATTTTCCATTTTTCTCTATTATTCTTATCCCTTGCAACTCTACCAAAGGGACCCAGTTTTTTGCGGGGAGCGTTGGCCACGTTCCCGGAAAACTGCCTCATATATTTTGTTCTGATTTATAGTTTTTGGCAAAAGGGCAAATCTAGCATTGGTTACTCTGTCATAGCTGGAAGTGAAAGCTATGTGATTTTAAGTATTAAACGAGTTAAGATATAAAAAAAAGTTCTGTATAAACAGTATCTATACACATGTGTAAGTGTTATAATGATATCTTTGTTTAGCGAGGATTTATAATTATGTAGGCAAGATAAAGGTTAGGCTTTAAATACTAGAAACCCTGTCTATGATTAGGTCACTGAAGCGTCTAGCAGCTACATGTATACAATGTATCATAAAATTGACTACACATGTTTCCTGCACAGGTGACATATTCACATTTTTTCCCCTTACCTTCTCCCACCCTCACTTCATTATCTTTGTGTATGTATTAAAAGCTTTAGTTTTCCTTCCTTTAGTCAGGGAGGACTTCTATGGAAAGAGAAAGAAACTCTTCCAGCCTGTGCAAGGGAAAATTCCACAGTACATCTTTTTTCCTCTTCAATGTTTAATCCTCCTTCTATTAACATGAGGGGATGAAGGCCTGTTTATCCCCAGTGATTATTTTAGTACTGCTTCATCTCTCTGGGTTTTCATGTCCTGTGGGCCGGAAACAAAATTAAGAATCACTGGTCCCGTCTGCCTTTTGTTTCTGAAATACGAACTTTTGAAAAAATACTAACCTACCTTGGATAAATCTGTTTTGTGTGACCAAAGAAAGAAAGCATTTTGACCTGTGCTCCTATATCTGTCCCAATGGCTCTGCCTTACTCTCCTCTATACTGTGGAGGACTTTGATATTCAGACTCTTAAAAAGGACATACTCCCTTTGTAGACTTTGCCAGAAGGTGATTTGAACATGAATCAAAATGGTGAACTCTATACTAAGCTCTTTTACATTACTTGTTAAAAGGGTGAAACTGTTGGCTCAAGTCAGATAATGAAAAACTATAGGCATAAGCTGATGGAAATTTGAATACAGAGAAATGTAAATGTGTAATAAGCATCTTTGCTTCCTGTGTTTTGGTGGCCGGATGGAGATTAAAGAAGGAATTCTGGGAACACCAACCTCAGAAGGAGAAGACATGTAGATTCATTATCTTGCTGTTCTGCTATCAGTGCTTACAGGGCGGGAACTCTGTAAGTGTTAAGTACACAACATCTGTTTATTAAGATATTGATGTAGTTGTGCCAATGTGTATTTTTCAAATAAAAAATTTCTCTCTTTGAAGGAATCACTTTAGGGCTAGAGCGATCAGAAATCCAATATTGATAAAAACTTTCTTGTTTTTAATAATTCTGTCTAGATGAATTAAAATTGTTGAGTCTGCTTATGAATGAAAGAAACCTTTGAATATTTTAAGATTTTGATATCTTTTTTCAATTTTGCCTTCTCTATATTTTCCCAATGTTCCCTTCCCATAATCCCTTTTGCTCTCATATTCTGACATGTTTTTATGTAGCAATACAAAAAGGAGAAGTTAACAGAAGATGAGATAAATTTTATTTTTCTTTTAGAAAGAAAGGAAGAAGGTGGGGTTACATTTTTATACATATCTATAAATATAGAATGATAGACGAAACCTTCCAAATAAATAAATAAATATTGCCACGTGCTAAGGGACATAAGAAATTGTGGGGCTCCTTTGGCTCTGTTAAAAAGAAAACCCCTGTGGTGGTGTTGCATTTGTGAGATTACAACCACTTTTCTAACAAGGTCCTTTTGGGATTTTTCATCTAGTTAACAGTATTGAAAAGCCTCCAATGGCTATTACATAGGACAATATCCCTGACAGGAAATGAAAACTATTAAAGAAAATGTTTGCCATGTATGGCTATACACTGTTATACATAGGTTTAGTGCTTCAGAATAGGAACTGGCCCTTCAAGTTCAGCTTAAAACCTTGTTCAGTGTTTCTCTGATAACTGAAAAGAATGAATCAATTTCTAAGGTTGGGTACATGATGGCATTTAAGAAAAAGGTGACTGGGAAGAAGCTGTTGTTTGAATCTGCTTTTCTTCTCTTCAGGTGGTCATTCAAATAAAGGTAGGAAAAGAGAGGGGTCCTTGCGGGAAGAATCTTAGTAATGGGGTACAGCTAGGATGAGGGCTCACCTCAGTCCCACCTGCCTGGCCTTCTCAGCTGTTTGCCAGGTGAGGCTTTGTTTCCTGCAGGCTAGCACTGGGGCTCCTGGGACTGAAGGCTGTCTTCATTTGATGCCCCAAGAATTTCCAAGTGGAAATTCACACAGATGTGTCAGCCTAGGAGGGTTTTAACTAATCCCATAGCCGCGGCTACGGAGCACTAATGAGACCACGGTGGAGAGCCTGACGGTGTTCCTTTCGTAACTCCTACAGCTTGTCCTCTGGTTAGTGGACTTCCTTTTCCCCTGAGTCCTTGATGTCATTTCACTTAGGGAAAAGGTCACAATTTTTCAATCCACAGAAAATCTAACCCAGAGCGGTCCCAGTGTCTCAAGGCCTCCTCCCCAGTGACATTTTTGTAATTTTCCCGGAATGGATAACTACTCAACCAGGAAGTAGTGGCTTAATTAAATGCCTCTTAGGAGAGTGTGAATTTATTTCCATTTTGACAAGCAAATCCTAGCAGGGTAGATTTTCATGAGCTGATATGAACTCTATTCCTCAGGCCAAATTCACTAAAACCAAGGATGGGGACAAGAGGCAAGGCTGTATCATGAGTCACTTGGGCACAGAGCAGGTCCATTCTCAGCCCTCTGGCTCCACTGCACAGAGGAGTGGCAGGCAAAGGGTGTCCCTTGTGGCGAGGTGAGTGTTCCAGCAGACTAGGTGTCAAGTTTTGACCAGCTACCACCAATCTTTTCTGACAGCTCTTCCCCAGAGAGGATCCAGGAAGAACAGAGGCTTAAAATTAGCGTCCTCATCAGCTTGCCCCGTTCAGTTGTTAATGTCAAGGTTGCAAACCCACCTGCCCACAGGATCCCGGCACGAAATGATGCACGGGGCAGTGGAGAGGCTTCTGGGCCTGCTTCTTGCCTACTTCCAAGCAGTGAGTTCCCGAACCCACTGCTTTTGCTGAACGCTAAACTGACTAAGAAGACAGGCACAGAGAAGAGAAATCCGGCGGGGGTCGGGAGGGAGGGGTCCCCTCTTTCCGCCTTCCTGAAGGGGAAATTTCTAGTTTACACGTTGGGTTTCTTATTCGGAAAAGTGGTACACGCGGGGTGAGGAAGGCGGTGAAACCCAGCTACTCTGGCCCCACAGGTTGACTCTCAGGGGACCTCCTGGGGAGGGAGACAGAGAGGAGCGGCTAATTCCACGGTCACCCCACTCCCCCTTCCCGGGCGTGTGAAGGGAGCGGTTCCCATAAAGACAGCTTGGTTTGCTGGAAGACCGGTTAAAGAGGGTTCCTTTGGGGCTCCCTACATATACCTGGGGAAGGGGCGGCACCTTTCCGGGCTCGTGCCCCCGGCGTGTGCGTTGACCCTGTTGCCTCGGACCACCCCCAAAGGGTCGCGGGCCACCACGCTGTTGTCCTCGGCGCTCGGGAGCTCCTGCGAGCAGGAGGCGGGCACCGGGGTCACCCGGGGCCGGGGCTTCAGCACGTTGAGCGGGTCCGGCTCCGCGTCGTCCTCGGCGCTCCGGGTGTGGCGCCGCGGCCTGGGCGTGTTGAAGAGGAGGAGGGGGATCTCGTTCCTCCGCGACAGGAACTGGGAGAAGGGCGGCGGGTTCGCGCCCGGCAGGAAGGCCCTCTTGGCGCGGCCCAGACTGACCAGGAAGTGGTGCTGAGGAGACTGGTACACGTCGTAGCCGTTCTCCAGCGTCCGGTGTCTGAACCTGCAGCTCTCCGGGGTGAAGTGATGCTGCACAGGTGAGAAAAGCGATGCTGCAGGGGCAAGAGCGCCAGGTGAGGAAAGCGATGCTGCAGGGGCAAGAGCGCCAGGTGAGGAAAGCGATGCTGCAGGGGCAAGAGCGCCAGGTGAGGAAAGCGATGCTGCAGGGGCAAGAGCGCCAGGTGAGGAAAGCGATGCTGCAGGGGCAAGAGCGCCAGGTGAGGGCTGGCTGGCGGGGCGACCCTCCTCCTGGGGCCCGTGCTGGCGGCAACCGGCCGGAGTCCGGGGGTTAGCCCGTGCTGCGCTTCACCCCGGTGGCCCTTTCTGGGGAAAAGTGGTTTCAACTAATGCGTGGCAGTTGCCCAGGCGCGGAATGCGGTCCCGCCTTTCAGGCGTGGCCACCGCCAGGCCTCTTGGCTCCGGCCTGGAGACCTGGCCTCCCACGTGCTTTTCTTGGGCACAGCGCCCTCCTTCCCACTCTCTATCTTTTCCAGCCCTCTTCTGGCTGAAAGTTGGCTTGGGTTTGTCTCCTTCCCTGGAGAAAGGAGATGGGATGGAATTTGTAGGGTGCTGACGTCAGAGAGTTAATATAGTTTGGGGATTAGTGACAGGAACTTTGCTAACTGATGAGCTGGGTTTGAGTTCTCACTCTGCTTGAGTGTTGGGTTTTGTTGAGTGCCTACCAAGGCCTTTGCGTATTATTTCATTTAAACTCAAACTCCACGAAGTATTTACATTTGAGAACTATCTATGCCTAGATGTGTTCAACAGATATTTATTTATTTATCTATATTTCAGTATTTGTTCAACAGAGATTTATCTATTCTAGGCAGATACTACGGTAGATGCTGGGACACAGCAGTAAGGCAAAACAGAAAGTCTCTACTCTCGAGAAATTTCTAGTGGGTATGTCTGGTGGCAGGAGACTCCTGAGATGAGCAGCCCTACTGTTTCACTATCTCAAAACCCTTTGGAATATGCCGGCAGCCTTTAGTTTGGGAAACCCTTTGCTTACCAATCCGAATGACCAGCTATCACAGTTGGGGCAGAGGTCATTAAATAGAGATGTGTCACTGGGGGGAGCTCCACAGGTCATGTGGTCCATTCCATTTTTTCCCGGAGAAGAAATTCAAGTTCAGTGATGTGAGGGGACTTGCCTAAGGTCACAGCTAGTCGCAGAATCAAGAAGGAACCAGTGGTGTCTCACCCTTTCTAATGTACTTTACAACGTGAATTCACATGATTCGAGGAACTGCAGCTACATACCAGGGCCTGTGCTAGACAGAAAAATGGGTACCGTTGGGCAGTGCAGACGGGGGACTGAGAGCCTGGGCTCTACGGCCAGACTGCCTAGGGTCACACCCAGCTGTGGAAACCTGAGCATTCGACATTTAGTGAATAAAGTACTCAGTGAAAACATCACCAAGGTATACTGCAGATGGAACCTTTAAGCTGGAAAAAGTCTATATTGTGTCAGAGAAATTAGGTAATTGTTTGCAAATGGCAACCAACACAAAAGAGAAACTCACTGATCCAAAAATGTTGCCTCTGAAATCCATGCAGAGGTATCTTCTGCTCATCACACCTGTGATCACCACAAAGCCAGCATCCTCGGAACTGATCATCAAGGCACCTGTGGGGAAACCATTCAGGTCAAAAACTCCTTACAGGCCGGGCCCAGTGCCTCATGCCTGTAATCCCAGCACTCTGGGAGGCCAAGGCGGGTGGATCGTTTGAGCTCAGGAGTTCAAGACCAGCCTGAGCAAGAGCAAGACCCCATCTCTACTAAAAAAAATAGAAAGAAATTAGCTGGACAACTAAAAATATGTATATATAAAAAAAAATTAGCCGGGCATGGTGGTGCATGCCTGTAGTCCCAACTACTCGGGAGGCTGAGGCAGAAGGATCGCTTGAACCCAGGAGTTTGAGGTTGCTGTGAGCTAGGATGACGCCACGGCACTTACTATAGCCCGGGCAACAAAGCAAGACTCTGTCTCAAAACAAAACAAAAAAAAAACTCCTTACATAGCCAATTCCTACCTTTGGGCACTTCCTGGAAACTCACCTTCCTGAAACCTCCCAGGATTGAGTTTAAGGGTGCTGATAACTTCACGTAACTCTCCCCTTCTACTTGTTCGGCCTCAATTTCCTCCGACAAACCCCCTCCACACACACACACACACACACACACACACACACACACACACACACACATGCTCATTCGCCTCCTGCTTCATCCTCTGGCCCATATGGGGCACTCTGAACTCTGGCATTCTTTCACCTGTGCTGTACACATTTCTCTCTTTCCACCTGGACTGTCTTTATCTTCCCCTTTGCCTTGCTAATACCTTTTAATGTTTGTGGCTACATTCTTCCAAGCCTTCTGCTTTTGTGATTTAAAAATCTACGCTGAGATGTCTTCCAAAGATCCAGCTTGTATATGGAGTCTGATTCTCCACCTGGATGGCTGTGTAATAGTCTGATTCATCAGTCAACACCCAATATGTGTCCAGAACTTCCTTCTCTGCTCACCAATGTCACTCATCCTTCAGGATGAAGCTCAGACATCACCATCTCTATGGAGACTTTCCTCATCTCCCTCATCAGAGCTGATGTTCTTTCTTCTCATGCCCTCTGCACAATGCCTGCACCTCTGTTCACTGACCCTGCTCCAGCTAAGTGCGCACATCTAGTGCCTTCTCCAAAGTGAGCTCCTTAGGAGCAGAGGGTATATGTGGTTTTACGTTGAATAGATACCAGTGGTGGATGGAATTTTCTTCCAGGGCTCTACTTGGGTTCAGTTCTTTGTTATTTTCTCAGTTGGTGGTGCCCCCTCCAGGTGCAATCTTTCATGGTCTTTCAGCGTCCCTTCTCGAAAACTAGTCTCCAAAAGGGCCTGACACCCATTCATACGACTTACACCTTAAATAATTGATAATGGCTTGAAGCAGGCCTTCTCTTGTATTGCAAGGGCACGATTAGACCATACAGTGGTGTAACATGACTGACTATTCAGCAAAACTTCTGCCCTAAATACTGCTTAATTACCTGACATTTTCTGTTAAAAATGATTTCTTTAGGTCTTTGAGGCCACGTCCACTAGCCTGCCACAGAATTTCCACGTGCATCTCGTCTGACCTCACAGCCCCGATGCAGGCGTCCAGGCAGGAATTCCAATCCCCCTTCTGCGAATGCAGTCAGAGAGGCTGCGAAGGCCCAACGTCTGTGCCTGGCAAGTGATGGAGCCTCGTGGGGTGACTTAAAGCCAAGGCTCCTCTCTTGCATCATGTAGGCTCAACACAAAGACCTCAGAGGACAGCAAGTGGGCAATAATTAGACACTAGCTGCATGCAGATCATGGTAGCGACTGAAAACTGGAGTGATGCGGGGCAGAGGGAATGAGGGTGGAGGCAAGCCCAGAAAGAAGAGAAGGGAAGAGAGCCAGAGAGAAAACTTAATTTGTCTCAAAGTCTGGCTAAGGGTTAACATTGGAGGAAGCTTCTGGAAAGTGGGGTGGAGTATGGGAGGTGCAGAGGATGCTTAAATTCCTCCAAAATAGTGTCTGCCTATGTGTCTCAATTGTATGGCTAATTCTGTGGTAAATCCTGAGAGAAACATAAGGAATGTGTAAGAAATGTTTCTATTCTGATGACTTTCAGTCTAAATGGGAAAAAAATTACATTTAGTAACCGTTTTTGAGTGGTTGTGCTTTAAGTACTTTATATCTTTTAAACTCTCAAAACAACTATTATTAATATATTGTTAGTATTGTTAGTAATAGCATTGGTAGTAGCAGCATCCCAATTTAAGTGACAATGAATCTAAGGATTGAATCTCAGGTTGGTGACATCTTCTTCCTAATACGCTGTGGTCTGCCTCTCTCAGCAATCATTGCAAGTATGAGGAGACAGCGTCAAGTGCTGAAATACATGCTGAGGATGAATCACTGACGGAGTCGGGGAAGAGGCACAGAACCAGGATGCAGGGGACGGGGATCCTGGTCCCACTTCTGGCACTTACTAACCTTGTAGCCTTGGGTGATGCCTTGCTCTAGCCTTAGTTTCCTCCTCTGTGAAATGAGAATAATAATAGCTGTCCTGCCTACTTTCATAGGGTGACAATAAGAATCAAATGGGGCCAGGTGCTCAGTGGCTCATGCCTGCGATCCTAGCACTCTGGGAGGCTGAGGCGGGAGGATCACTTGAGCTCAGGAGTTTGAAGCCAGCCCGAGCAAGAACGAGACCCCGTCTCTACTAAAAATAGAAAAATTAGCCAGGCATGGTGGCGCATGCCTGTAGTCCCAGCTACTCGGGAGGCTGAGGCAGGAGGATCGCTTGAGCCCAGGAGTTGAGGTTGCTGTGAGCTGGGCTGACGCCACAGCACTTGCCCAGGCAACAGAGTGAGACTCTGTCTCAAAAAAAAAAAAAAGAAAAAAAGAATCAAATGGGATAATGGCTGTAAAAGTGACTCGCGAGCGTTACCATGCGGTGTGCTCCGACCTGCCTCTTATGCCAAACCCTTGCTTCTTGACAGTTGCAGCGGCCTGGGGCTTGGGGTCAGAGTGGGCAGTGTGCGTGGGGCGGGACTTCTGCTGCCCGGGGCCAGTCCCAGTAGGAAACACCCTGCAGGTGCTGAGGAACAATGCGCAGCTGCTTAGGAGGCCACAGATGCTGGATTCAAACCAACATGAGTCAACGTGGAAGTTTAGAACCTACAAGAGAGGCGGATTTCTTCCCTTTTGCAGTCTCGGCAGCCATCTTTTCACATCTGCACAGACTCGGGGAGAATTTGGCAGAAGGAGGGAACAAATCACTGTCGGCTGGAGCCACCTGTTCTACCTGGTGGAGCAAACAGGCTTAAAGGACTTTGCCTTCAGTGACGGTGGCATCTGCATGCATGTGACCTTGGAAGAGCATGAGATTTGGGGTCAAGATGTCCTCTAGGTCACTCACTACCTGTGTGTGCCACTTATTTAAATTCTTTGATCTTTGTTGTTTCATATTTAAAATGGGGATAGTAGAAACATTCACCTCATTTTGTCATCTTGAGGATGTAATGCGATAATGTTCTTATCCACCATAAAGCACTTTCCAAATGCTGGTGAATTTTCCAATTACCACTTCACCTCAACCTCTGCTATCAAAGCGGAAGATTATCTGCTCCGTCCTATTGTCATAGCCAGTGGATGAGAAATAAGAAGTCAGGTGCCTCAAGCCCCCCAAACGAAAGATAGTATTGTGAGGAGGGGTAGAGTCCTCCGTGCGTCTGAAGGGAGTCTGTGGAATCTTACGGGCAGGTAATTTCATTCGGTTCAGTGCCATGACCTGAAGATGGGCTGTGTACTCAACTCTTAATCAAGAACTTACTGCAGCAAAATAATCAACGGATCAGACTTCACTGGAAATGTATAATTAATTAGGAGGTAGAAACCCTCAGACTTTTCCATCAGTGTGAAGCGCTGCCTCGCATTCATTAACGAGGCAATTGCAAGCCCTTCGCCAGACTTTAATTGGTTGTGCATCCTTATCTACATGCGCTAATGTTTCCCTTGCCTTTCGAGTAACTTTTTTTTTTTTTTTTTTTGAGACAGAGTCTCACTCTGTTGCCCGGGCTAGAGTGCCGTGGCATCAGCCTAGCTCACAGCAACCTCAAACCCCTGGGCTCAAGTGATCCTCCTGCCTCAGCCTCCCGAGTAGCTGGGACTACAGGCATGCGCCACCATGCCCGGCTAATTTTTTCTATATATTTTTAGTTGTCCAATTAATTTCTTTCTAATTTTTGGTAGAGACGGGGTCTCGCTCTTGCTCAGGCTGGTTACGAACTCCTGAGCTCAAACAATCTGCCTGCCTCGGCCTCCCAGAGAGCTAGGATTACAGGCGTGAGCCACTGCGCCCGGCCTCTTGCTCTTTTTTTGATAATATTAATACATATAACGGAACAGTACAAAAGATTATATAAACTGAGAGAGTGGATCTCCCACCCACTGGGCTGACCCTGAGTCGCTCTCCACGTTAGCATTTGTCTTTACAGAGACACGACACTTAGCTAGTGCCTGTATCGGACAAAGCAAAGTCACATTTCTATAAAAAAAAAAAATCTGACGTTGGTTCCATGTGCCTTGCTGCTTTCCAGTCACTTTAATTCATTCCAGCTGGTGCTCAGTGAGCAGCCCTGGGCCTGATGCCGGCGGGCACTGGAGGGAAAAGGGCTAACGTCTCGCCGGCTGCGGAGGCTGCGCTCCGCACACTCCCTGCCCACAGGGCCAGCCGGTGGGAGCACCTTCCAGTAAAAGGGTCCCATGACTCTAGGCAAGTTGTATAAACGTCTGCCCTTTCCACCTATGGGAATCAAAATTATCCACCATAACCTGCTATCCTGAATTTTAAATCACACATAATCTTGCAGGGGAGGTAAGGCTGGCCCTCCACGAGAGGTGCAAAATTGGATTTCCCGAAAATCTGACAATGAGCTGGGTGAGAAGGGATAACAGACCACAAGGTCCTTGAAGAGCTGAGTCATCCTTTTCAGTCACAGAGCTTATTGTAATGCCAGCCACACAGTAGGTCCTATTAAATATCTGCTGAATGAAATGAGGGATACTTTGGTTGCCTCAAGTGTATCTAGATTGATTTCAGATTTTTGCCATTAGACTCCAACTTGGCTTCCAAGGTGTTGACTCCTAAGTCCTACTATATCACCTTGACTTCTGGAACCTGTTTGATATTTAGAGATAATTTTTCTCAGTCCTTCCATCTCCTATCAACATCCATTGAACTCACGAATAGGTTTAAACTGTTGGCTTTGCATATGTATATATAGCTTGCTATCTACCAGGTTTAAGGACCTTTGATTCCTAGAAGAATGAATACCTTGACCACGGCAAAATAATTGATTATTAGGACAATAAAGAGCAAGTCATAATTTCTATAAAATGTTATCTTCCGTTAGAGATCATGATTACTTTTTCATTTAATTTGAAATATATTGAATCACTTTGCATTTTTCTGTATCCTTAGAGTCATTTTTACATATTCTTCTAAAATAGGAGACCCTGTCTTTTCCAGTATCCACCCCCTATCCCACCCCATTATCCCTTGTTAGGTGCACACAAAAGGGTCCTGATTTGGATCATAGCTACTGATTGACTATTGTGAATTGTGATCCACCTCTCTACAAACCTAATCTTTAAAAACATTCCAGTTGCCTCCTGTTGCCTATTGGGTTTCCAATGAGCTCAACTTCCTACTAATTGGACACCTCTCAGTTTCATAGAGAAGAATCACCAGTTCATACTGGCACCTCTGACGCACCCAGTAAACCTGCTGGACTGAGGGATGGCTGCGTGGGTAGATGAGTTGGTGGGTGGATTGTGCACTAAGTGCTCAGACCCACCGAGACAGCACACCTAGACAGTGTCTTCAATGTTTTTCCCGGGAATTTTTGCAAAGCCAGAATACTAGAAGCTCAGAGTCAGAAAGAGCCCTTGAGTTCATCTATTCTAATTCTTAGTAGGATCCAGGAATCTTCTTTACAACCTCCCTGGTTAACCCAGTCTGAAGTTTGTGAGCTAGAACCCAGAGTCTACTGATCTGTCTGGCTTCTTTTCCTCTTAGACTCCCTGCCTTTCTTTCTATACGTTTTTTGAATCCTTGGGCAGGGCAAAGGGAAAGAAGCTCCTACTGTGGGAAGAAGGGTTTTAGTTGAGGCAGAAATTATTCATGCTCAGAGAAACCAGTAAGTACTAATGGGGGAAGGTGTGACAGTATCTTCCCCTAAGGTTTAAAATACACACACACACACACACACACACACACACACACACACAGAATACGTGGCTCCTGGGCAGGAAGGGAGGAGGTTGGGCTAGTCCTCTGGTCTCCCCCCAAACCTCCCCAACCCCCCGTGGATGGGCACCTGGGCAGTTGCCCTTTCTTCCCAGCCTGCAGCCCCTACTCACTGTAGATGGTCTGGTGGGGTGTGCCGTCCACGTGGCCGTCCTTGTGGATCTGCAGGTGGTAGCTGTTCCTGGCTGTGGCCGTGTACAGGTGGATCAGGCCGCCCCAGCTGGAGCTGAGCAGCGGGGAGGCGTTGGGATAGGCTCTGATGACACTCACGCCGCAGACACTGCACAGGGCACAGACCCAGAGCCTGAGGCAGGCCCCCAGCATCGCCGCACTCTGAATGGCTGGTGCTGACACTGAAACCAGACACTCCCTCCGCGGGCCGCCTGGCTGGCCTTTTCCTCCTCTTCTTCCTTGCAAGTAGCCGGCGTGAGGATCTGAGGCTGGATTCCCTCCTTTTTCTCCCTGGACTTTTAAAGGGTAGCAGTGTGACATCAAACAGGAAAAACTGTACTGTCCACATCCTCTCTGTTGTAATCAGCCCATTTGAAGAAAGTGCAAAGACCTCTGAGACCTCTGGGCGCACGGAAGGCACGTCGGTTCCAGACACACACACCCCTCAATTTCAAGCCAACGCTCCAAAAAGTGAGTGATGTGTGGGCAAAAGTTATCTGTGACTCTGGGTTGTCTGTTGACCTGTCCCACTTCCACCAGGAAATGCGAAGGCAGCCAGCGGTTCCCAAAAAATCCAGCTTCAGCCATGCAGTCGACTGACTCCCAGGCAATTAATCTCCCGTCGTCGGGTCTACTCATTGTGGTTTCCTTAGTTCTTTAACTCCCAGTCAGCAAGTACCTATCCAGTGCTTGCTCTGTACACAGCATCAGGGGGGTACCCTGAAGCATGATACCATAGGCAAATGGCATCCCGAGACATCCCCCCATGAAAGACAGGGGAGCCGGGAGAAGGGGCACAAAACCCCAAGTTGCCATCTTGGGGAGAAAGAAAACAAGGCCTGGAGGTCACTGAAAATGCCGAGGTTCGATTTCTCAGTTTCCCTAGTGGGGACTGTCTGGGGAAGCTGAGCTGGTAATGACAGTCTCTGCGATAGCAGGGGCACTCATCAGAGATCTCACGAGGACTGGAAGGCTGCTGGCTGAGCATCGGGGATCAGTGCACGGGACGGGGTGTCCCCAGAGTTAGTGTCTACACGTGGGTGCCCAGCTCTGGGACCGGACGCCTGCTTGTAGACGCTGCTCACTGGAGTGCCCTCTGGACAGCTACACCTGACGGGAGGAACACAGTCCTCGCACCTGCCTACGGGGAGCGAGCTGCTGGAGCACAGGCAGAAAACACACCAGGAGGCTGCTGCGCTTCCGATTTCCCATTTACCGAGGACATACCTCGTACAGGCATTGAGCTAGACATCGCGGTGGATATAGGAGCGAGCAAGATGTGATTCCTGCCTCAAGGAGCTCAAATCTGATGGAGGAGGCAGGCAAAAAGTAACTCTAACACAAGGCATGTGCAATCACACGGGTGCAGGCAAAAAGGTGACATTCACTGCTCTACACCCGTATAGTTTTTTACAGTTTATAAAGCATTTTCACATCTATTAACTCATTCGGACCTCACTGTAACTCTGTGAGACAGGCACCGCAGGCATTATCGATATGTTGATAGTATACATGAAGAAATGGAGATCTTGCGCTTCATATGTCCAAAGTCACAAAGCAATCAAATGGCAGAGCCTGGATAAAGTCTTCTGACTCTGGAGCCTGCTTCTCCAAAGAATCCCGGTGACAGCCAACACTTACAGAAAGCTTAGTATTGCACTCACTGTTCTGGGTGCTTCACTTGTAGAAACTCATCTCATCATCAGGATAGCGCTTTGAGGAGGTAGTGTTGCTTCCTTTATACAGACCAGACACTGGTGCATACAATTTGAGTACCTTTCATAAAGACAGACAGCTAATGTGGAAGAAGGTGGATTTGAATCTAGATCTGACTCCAGACCTCCTAAGCACTTTGCAAGGTGTCCAGATCCACACAGCACGTTAGAGTTAAAGCCGCGCGGGTGAGGCGCTTGCTAAGAAAGTACAAGGGGCAGTAAGGCACAGCACTCGGTTTTTCTCCAGTAAACCCAGGCGTTGGTCCCGGTGTCTCTCCAGGATACCTGGTACCTGTCTCCCCGGGGTTGGACAGAAGATGTATGACATTTAAGTGCATATGTAGAAACAGTCTTCTTTAGTAATGGCCACAGAATGGTTTATAAATACAGTATCACATCTCAGCTAATTGAAGAAATAGCTAGCTTTCAGAATTGCAGTGCAAATCACTCTGGATCATGTGCCCTGCGTTTCCTCTTCTGGTGGGGAAGGTAAAGAGATGGGAAGTAACTGTGAGGCCATCAGCAGCTACTGAGCGCCTTCTCTGTGCAAGAGAGATGGAAAGGAGGGAGTTATAGAAATAATAAAAAGGACAAACATATCTTCCAGAGGCTTAAAATATAATTGATCTGAGAAAAACTTTGTTCAACACAAGGCACTGTGTGATTGGGGCTGCAGGACTGGACATGTAAGAAATGCTAATGTCATTCCTAAAAGGAAGAGCTCACGGTGGGCGGATGCTGTGGTCCAGGGAGGCTTTGAGGGAAGGAGAAAATTGAGGGAGCTTTATAGCCCACATATAGGACAGGGAAGGCTGTTCCCAACACCTGCCAAGGCCTGGTGGGGAGGGAGTGCAGGTGTCTTGGGATGAGTCCATGGCCATTCAGTGATTCGCTCTGTTCCTGGAGGGATTGGGGGAGGCACCTCTCTGGCTGCTTCAGCTGGTCTTATTAGGAAAAAGAGTTTATGTGCCAGCTTACTCCACTCCCCAAGGCTTCCCTCCAGGAAGAGCCCTGAGTGCTTAGCAGCTGGATCTAAAGGCAGAGTACAGCCCAGGGGAGTAGATTTATTTCTGGGAGGAATGGGAGGAGAAGAAGCATTTCTCACTTGGAGAGGGTAAAGGAGGGCGTAAGAATCTCAGACTAGTTCTTCCCGTTTGAGATATGGGAAAACTGAGAGCAGAGACGGGATTCGCCCATTAGCATGCAGAGACGCAGGACTTCCATCCAGCTCCTGGCTGCCTCCCCATCAGTGGTCCAAACCTGGCTGCCCAGTAGAATTACTCGTGGGGCTTTAAAACTGCAACTACCCCAGGACTTACCTTAGTCCTACTGAGTCTGCAGGGGCAAAACCCAATTTTTTGTTCTTTTTTCAAAGTCACCTGGGAGATTCTAATCCACCACACTAGACGTTACTGATATGAAAGCACTTATCAACAAACAGGTTTGAGTCCCAACCATGCAGTGGAATTAATACACAGAGACCAAGGTCTCCTTCAGTGGCCTGATCAATTTTCCTTTCCCTCCTATGGTTTCCAGCCTAACTGCAGGTAAAGATGTAAATGGGCCTTTCTAGGGAATTTTAGTACCGAATAGTAAACCGGTACCGTGTGCCTATAAGCAGCCTTTTCTTTGAGCCTGGTGTCAGAGGGTGAGGGAAGGGAGGGTCCAGGGCACGTTGGTTCCTGTTCTTTGCACCTAGAGGGCACTACTCTGTCACAGTTCAGGTTGGAGGATCTGGGAACCAGCGTGACCTTAGGAGCCCACAGTGAAACTTGAATATCAGATGCGAGCAGGAAGCCCAGGGAGGAGGCCGCCGGGGAGTTGTGCTTTTCAGATGTCACTGTCCTTGGTTCCCAGGTGGCTGCCTGGGTGCAGCAGAGAGGCTGGTTCCGTGATAGGTGGGGATACCTGTTCATCTCTAGCCCAGCTTGGAAGCCCCTGCCCTGGCATCAGGAGACTCTGTCCTGGAGCTGTGCGGAGGCCTCTGGTCCAGTCCCTGCATGTACACGCATGGAATCAAGACTGTCACTGTGGACGTGGACTACAGGACCCCGTGTTCTTGCAAGTTCATCACTTTCCTTCGTCTCCTGACTCTCTCTGCTCAGAATCTGCTCTGAGAAGATATCGAGGAGGATTGTGTCTCCCGGATCGTATTCTCTCAGTGGGAAGACTTGACCACAATTTTCAAAACTAACAGTGGCTTGACTGTCGTTGGGCTAGGATGGAAAAATGTTGGAGGGGTCAAGGCAAAAGAGCTGGGAGATAGGAGAGGAGGTGGTCTCAGGGCAGCTCACAGCTGTCTTTTCCTTTTGAGACTCCGCGCAGGGCTCCGCGGTTCTCCCTCTCTCACCCCCGTGATCCCGTCTCCGGCACCCCGTAATGGTTTCGTCGCCGTTTCACTCCCTCAAGGGATGGTCTCATTCAGACAGCGGCGGAGGGAAGTCTAAGCCATCCCGGACGAATGGTGGTTTCTTGTTTTTTTGAGGTTCGCTGGGCGGTGCGATTCCTGTGTGTTGTCTGAAAATGCCGTTCTCGTGTGATCTTGACATGAAAACATGCTCTCTGGTAGCCAGTCGTATTCTTCCTTCAATATATCTACTAAATTGACACATAACTTTTTATCAAAAGCTTGTTATATAACTAGCGCCTTATAGAAAATCCTTAGAGAAGCCTAAGAATAAACAGTACAGTCCTGATCTTATGATGTGCTGGCAGGAAATACTTTGCACTTGTCCAGATTTCACAACCTGCAGTGTATATTAACACCCGCTGTCTCTTTGGGTGCTCAAAGCTGTCCTGTGGGCTGGACTCTGGGGCACCTGGAACGATGTTCCCCAAAGCATCCTGGCTCTTGATACACAGATTCTGTACCGTAGGAATTTAAAAAAATGGAAAAACAAGCAATATTTTTATTAAATCTGTGTTATTGAAAAGTAAATCAATCCAGAAATCTATGAAATAAAAAGTGAACATCCATTATAATTTGCGCCGTCTAAAAGTAAAATGTTATCCAAGGTAAAATATTACTGATTTGGGGTCTACACACACATGTATATACTTATATATGTAGTTTTATGAGCCAAAATGGAGGGCATGTTATGTACAGAGCAAGCTTACTTTGTCCATGCCAAGGTCTATTTTGACTGTCTTTCCTGGTCAGTATGTACATCTCTGCCTTATTCCTTTTAATAGTCACATTGCATTCCGTCATATTGCATCTGAGAGGGGTCAGCTCTTCTGGAGACTTCGTTTCCTTCTAAGCTCTGTCCAGAGATTTTGGGGTGGTTCCCAAGGCCACAGAACTTCATATTTATATGTATATATTTATACATATGTATATCTACACACACACATATATATACACATGCACATATATGCATATGTACATATACATACACACATACGTACAGAATAATAGCCCTACGTGGTGTGGCCCTGGCGGCTGGGGTCACAGTTCTCTGTCACAAGAACTTACTAATTCTTAGTCTAGAACTAATATCTCCCACAGAGTCAATCTCCTTCACTCCCCTTTTTC